CCGGCCTGTGTTACTAACAGAAGTGTCTTTAGTCCATTCCCAAAGGGGGGGACATAAACATCTCGAGTTCTTGTGCGCAGTAGAATTGTAACTGTAAATGGGTTGATTCATCAATGTCATGCTCATAACTGTGCCTGAACTGCAACAAGGAACTGCTGCTTTTTCTTTCCTAATCCTTACTATCGTCATTTCTCCTCTACTTCTTTTGCATGTTTGTCACACTCTTGTGACCCGCTATGTCCAGGAAGCCTTGATAGTCGAAGCAGACTTGATGCTGTTGAAGCTAGATAGGGGAGCAGAGTAAGTCTGCTTCCCTATAAGGATTTCTCTGTTGACATCCACCCCTTTGCGCTCATATGACCTTATGCAGTTGCGAACACTGTAAAACCTCTACTAAAAAGCGGAGGTCTTTCTTACGGTGCCTTCAGTATTTGCTGACTCCCTTACCTGGGCCAACAGACTCACTGCCTTTTGTACTTACTTCTTCACCTGGGCCAGACAGAAAAATGTTTACATACCGCATCTTAGGTACTTACTTTTTTACTTCCTCGCCATTATAATTAATGTTTTATTCCTTTATCAACACAAGTCGATCACATAAGAGAGGGGCAGACAGTCATCAGAGTCAAACGTGACTGAATGGGATACGGTACTGTCGAAAAAATAGGGACACCTTTAAAAGAAAACAAAAACAAAAGAACAACCAAAAAAACCCACCCTTCCTCTAATGCCAACTGAATTCACTTCGTTTAGCGAAGAGTCTCACCTATGATCCACCTATGCGGAGCTGCCCGGAGCTGTCGTTGTTCAGACATGCAATCTCGCTCCACTTTCCCCAGTTTTCCACCCTGACCAGCCTCTTGCGCCTACCGTGGCACAACTCAAGAACGGCGCCTACGAGGTGAGATGGGAGGAGCCAGAAGACAACGGAGCACCAATCAATTACTACATTTTGGAGTACAAGTAAGGGCTTCGTCGACATTGTGGAGAATATGGGACGGTTTCATGGGTCAGAAGTTAACACTAGGATGTGTGTGTGTGTGTGTGTGTGTGTGTGTGTGTGTGTGTGTGTGTGTGTGCATGTGTGTGTGTGTGTGTATGGGTGTATTTGTGTGTGAGTTTGTTTGCATTTGTGTGCTTGTATGTGCATGTATGTGTATGTGTGTGCATATGTGTACATGTACGAGTGTGTTCCTGCGTGTACGTATGCTCGTGTTTGTTTTTGGTTTGCTTTGTGTGTGTGTGTGTGTGTGTGTGTGTGTGTGTGTGTGTGTGTGTGTGTGTGTGTATAGATGTGTGTGAGTGTGCGCGCGCGAGCACATTTCTTACAAACATATATTCCTCAGTAAATGTGAACTCTCTTTCTGTCTCCCAGGAACATCGAGATCGGCAAGTGGCTGACGGCGTACAACGGCTCTGTGGAGAGGTGGCTTGTGGAGACATCCCGCCTGGAGCGGGGAAAGTCGTACGTGTTCCGGGTGTCTGCCGCCAACTCTCAGGGCATGGGCTCCTTCAGTGTCAATAGCTCCGTCTTTTTGGCCTCTTATGGTGAGCGATATCTTTGTTGTTGTTGTTGTTGTTGCTGCTGCTGCTCTTGTTGTTGTTGTTGTTGTTGTTGCTATAATCTCTACGATTTGTGCGCTTGCTTTCGGTACTGTGTGTATGAGAGTAAATCATTAGAACCCCGTTATCAAGTGTCGTGCTCACAACTCATTGGGGTTTTCATTTTATCCTTTAAATTTCATTAAAGATTTTTTTTTTATATTGTGTCTCTTTGTTGGGGAGTTTTCCGTGGGATAATGGAACTTAGTGCAGAAGTACATGGACATTGATGTGTGGAGAATATGGGACGGCTTCACGGAAGTTAGCACTGAGATGCATGTGTCTCTCTGTGTGTGTGTGTGTGTGTGTGTGTGTGTGT